TACTCTTCGTGTGCATGTGTTTTGTGTAGTTTCCTACTCATTTTCTCTCAATCTTTCACTTGGGTGTACTTCGCTTCACTTTAGTATGCTTCTACTTTTCATGTGCATGCGTTGTCGCGCGCGGCGGTCTTGCGCCCTGCTGGGGTGGGCTGAACCTCACGGTCGTGTCACGCAGGATGTTTTGTCCAATAAGAACCAGTCACCACTCCAAGGGGCTGCGACAAGTCGGGACATCGCGAAGTACAACTTACCTCTACCCAAGGGGTTGTCACCACCCTTAGGTAGGCGTATCCCTGCTGAGCTACCGACCCACGTGCAAAGGCTTTTACATGCCTGAGTAGAGGTAGGTCGGCCGAGGGCGTTTGCTCGATCGTTGTAGCATAATATGGGGTACGCGCGGTAAGACGCCTAGGACTGACCCGTTAGATATTCAGGTCGAACTTTGAGATGGTTGTCTATTTCCGCTTTTGTTCCCAAAATACTTTCTCCTTTTGACCCCTATGTTCAACGTATCAAAAACAAAACCTTGTCACTACCAAAGGATATCCTACTTTACTCAACGTATGACCGAACATCAGATGGTATAGAAGTTATATAAGACTGATTATGAATATCAAGGCATTACCGTTGGGAACCCTTTCCACTTTCACAAGTGCTGAGTGTCCAGAACTCTTCACGATGTCAATCTCAGTCCAATCCAAACCATGCACAAGACAGACTTGCACAACATAATGCAAAAACAGTTCACATGCCATGCACTAACGGTGTCAACCATCAACCATTCACATTGTCCCTCACTCCCCAAACCATGCATGACAGCTCTATCTTTCCTGAGATGCAAGCCCAGCCCCCTCACACTTATTCAAAGGACCATTGAGAGTGACCAGGACCATTTAGGCAATGACCACAGGTGACAGTTTCACTGACCACAGGGTTTGATTTTGGATGTAGGTATCAAGCCAAGGCGGAAAAGTTGAATCGGCAACGACCGACCTGTTATCGAGTGATAACAGAAAATTTAGTCATTTATGTAGGACTTCTCCTTTAATCGCAGTAGACCAAAGCAAAGACCTTTACACACACAGGTCAACAATGATTCAACATCCCTTACTTGATTATCACATAATGATATCTAAGGGTCAAACCCTTAGTTCAGGTTTGTGAGTTTTGGGGTCATCATCCCAAAGTCTAACCCCTAACTTCTATCTAGCCTGAGTCGTCTGTCACTCCTCCTTCTTTTATTTCAAGGAGTTTCTCTGCCTATGTCTCAAGTTGTCCCAGGGAAACTCATATTTCCCCTTACTCTCAGTCCTTGCATTCTTTCTCTTGCGGATAAGCACATTTTTTTGGTGCTTTATGCGGTAGTCTGACCGAGATCATCTCAAGCCAGTGGCGGTTTCTCCAATGTAACATGGCTACAAGGGGTATCTTCTTTCTCTAATCCTCTTCCCCCACGGTATTTGCTTTCTCTTACGTTCCTTTTAAGGAACCTTCGGAGTCGCCCCCAATGGAGCACTCCCTTTTTCCTTCCCTTTTCTTTTTGTCCTAACATACGCAAGTAGTAGGTCGATTCACCCGGGAATCTTCCACTACTTGATCAATTTCAAACATTCCGTTAGTCAGAAGAGTAGTCGAGTCGCCCCACGGGAGCACTCAGTCACCCTCCAAAGTTCATGCAGTTCTTATGCAATCAAGCAGATTATGCATCTAGTGCAAGTGATCGGAGAACTCACCCGGGGGTATCCTTTTATTAGTTAGGCAGGTGGTTAGGAGGTTTTTGTTGAACCGTTTCAACACTCGACCCAATATTCAGGAAACATTCCAACTCCAAGTGTCAATTCCGAATCAAAGTTAGTAATAGGCGGTCTTCACGGAAGCCCCCTATTACTACTTGTTTCAGAGCTCAGTCTTTTCCTCAAAAGTGTAATAGGAAGACCCTACGGGAGCCACCCTACTACTTACTTAGAGTTAGACGAGCTGGGATTATGTTAGTAGACTCAGGCAAACCCCAGATCCTCCCTTTCCTCGAGTATCTTGTTAGACCCGTTAAGATTGAGTTAAGCAAGCATTAGGATGACCCCACGGAAGCCTCCCATGTCCTGCTTTAATGTTAATCAGGTGGATCGTTAGTACTCATTTATATCTGAACAAGTCGTAAGGTTACTCACCCGGGAGTATCCCTTTACTTGTTAGACTCAGGCAAACCCCAGATCCTCCCTTTGCTGGAGTATCTTGTTAGACCCGTTAAGATTGAGTTAAGCAAGCATTAGGATGACCCCACGGAAACCTCCCATGTCCGCTTTAATGTTAATCAGGTGGATCGTTAGTACTCATTTATATTTGAACAAGTCGTAAGGTTACTCACCCGGGAGTATCCCTTTACTTGTTCAAACATAATCGCCTCACTTCTGACCTCCATTAGTTGACCTTCAAATCAAACAAGTATTTGGACAACCCACTCAGGAGTCATCCTACTACCCATTTGATGCATAGGAGATCAAGGAAAACTCTTGAATGAGTTGCCTTGACAGTTCACCTAACTGGCCTATGCGTTGTAAGTGAGCAAAAGGCATGTTGACTCCCACGGGAAGTCGGACAGATCGACCCAGACTTAGGAGTTCGCGTACTCACCCGGGAGTACTCAATTCCCTCCTCAGTTTGGTGCGATCGGTGATAGGAGAGCCTCACGGAAGCCTCCTGCTACCTTTTGCCTTTGTTAGCCTTTTGAAGACGCGTACCCTACGAGAGTATTGGATTAATTGGTTAAAGAAGTGTACCCCTCGGGGATACCGGATCAATCGGTTATTGTTACGTTTGAAGAAGTGTACCCCACGGGAGTACCCGATTAAATTGGTTTTTTTTATCAATTGAAGGAGTGTACTTCACGAGAGTACCGGATCAAATTGGTTTTTGTTAATGATTGTAGGAGTGTACTTCACGGAAGTACCGGATTAAATTGGTTTCTGAAGGAGTGTACTTCACGGAAGTACCGGATTACTTCCTAAACTTAGCCTGCAATGCAATGAGAGGACTGCACAACAGCCTCTCGTCACCAACGTTGAAATCAAGCAGACGTTGCATCAATTCATTACTTTAGCCGGTCAAATGGCAGGGTAACTTCGCACGGCGAGTACCCCGTCATCCGCCCTAGTTAGCTCATACGAGCCGTGTGACGACCCTACGAGAGTCTCCATTACACAACTTTATGTCTCAGAGTCAGGCAAACTAGACTCCTTTATCAGTTCTTCCTAGGTTCCTTTTCTGACATCAGGCAGATTCTGATTTCAATCATATAGCCCTTTTGCTTTTAGTGCTTTAGTCCTGAAGAAATCCATAAACAGTATATCGTACAATCATACAAGCAGATAATAGAAGGGCGTAGCCTTTAAGGGTATACGGGAAAAGAATGAAGCGTGCGTACCCTAAGGTTCCCTACCTCCAGAGTTCCTCCTGAACTCCGGCAGAGCTCCCGCAATCGCCCTGTTGTCGATCTCGTATCATACATGCAATGGGTCATTTGATCCTTTTGTAGGAATATATCATTAGACACAAGTACATGAGATGAATAATCAAGAAAATAAAAGAATTGGAGGAGGATGGAGGAGGTAGGTACCATCACATAGTGACAATGTCTCTCTCCTCTCCGTCGCCCCATATTCTTTCCCTTTTCTAGCCCCTGCTTTCCTTATTGACATTTCAATAATGAGTCAACAACCAATAATAATAATAATAATAATAATAATAATAATAATAATAATAGCATACCAATCAATAATAATAATAATAATAATAATAATAATAATAATAGTAATAATAAAAGAAAAAAACTCAAAAAAAATGCTGGGAGAATAAAACATAGTTAATCCCAGAAGTTTAAACAGCATCATATACTTGCAACCACATACTTATGACCTCGAACTAATAGTAGATTTGTATCACCAGTTCCACCAATTGAGAACGCATCAAAGCTCATAAGTAAAATGTCGGAACAGTCCCATCATCATCAATCGAAGAACCAATGTTGAACTATTATCAGGTGCTCAACTCCCAGACTACGAAGGGCAGATTCTACCCGGTCTAATCTATTATGCTACCTGTGATGTTAACAGTTCCCCAAAGTACGAGCAGATCTCGGTCAAATGTCGTTTACCTCGATCATCAGGTACACATTTCGTCTCACTTTTCTGTGTGTAAGTATCTTTCTCTCTCTCCCTCCATGTCACAGCTGTGTTTTTCTTCCGTTTGTTTGAGTGTTATACCAACTACGTGTTTACATTTTCTGAATGTGTGACTGTTTGGGTCATGGAATTTGTCTGAGTGTGATCGGGTGTCACAGTGTCAATCTGTGTGATTCGTGGTCATGGCATCAATTTTGCATGATCTGTTGTCACGGCGTCAATCTGCATGATATGTTGTCACATCGTCAATCTACGTGATCTGCCTGAGTGACCGTCTATGTCTGTCTCAGATCGTTGTGTATGGTTGGTCGTGTCGGTGTATGTCTTGTGTCAGTCTGCATCTGTCTGTCTGCTTGTTTATCATTGTCTGTTTGTCTGTTTGTGATTATAGGTTTGCTCGTTTTTGTCAGTCTGTCTTGTCTGTCTGCAGGCCCATGTAGCTGTTGGGCCCTGCATCGTGGGTCTGTCCCCTTGGGTCAAGGTCGTAGCTGCTATAGAGCCGAAAGGCCAAAATCCACAGACTTTGGTCCGGAAGCGGTCCCTCAACTGTTGCTCACATGCAGACTAGAGGTAAGAGGGCAGTGACGGCGTCTACCCTTGCTGAGTCAGCAGTACTCAGTCCCAGTCTCACTTAGTTCAGTCAGCAAGTACCATATGGGACTGTGTATGTCTACCTAGGACTGTGTACGTCTGTGTCAGACAACGTATGTCTGTGTGTCTGTTTCTGTCTATGTATCTGTCTGTTCCTGTTGGTCTGTCTGTCTGTTTATACTTCTCGGTTTGTCTTGTCCAATTGTCTGATTGTCTGTTTGTCTGTCTGTTATTGTGTCTGGCTGTTTGTTTGGTGGTCTGCATTTGCCTGTCTGTTTTCTTATTTGTCTTTCTATGTTTGTATGCCTGCTTTGTGTTTGTCTGTCCGACTGTCTCTCTGTCTATCTCTTTCTTTCGCACATGCACACACACCGTCACGGATCGATAGATCACACGAAGTCCTACACTGGAGACCAGAGATGCAGAGTCCAAACATACACAATTTAGAAGCCCCGTTAAGACTCTGCATTTGCCAGTTTCGGCGATCCAGTCACCAATCGTTCAACCGAGCGGAGTTCAGTGACCTGATACCAGCGCCCTCTTCAATGGTAAGTGGTTCCTCTCTTTCCCGGACGCAGTGTCTCTCCTACCATCCCTTTCCATCTTCTTTCTCAGTCTGTCCCCCCTGTATGTCTGTCTAATCTGTTTGACTGTCCTCCTGTCCATCCTTTTCTTATACACATGTCACCGGGCATTCAGGCCGTGTAGGTGTATGTAGAGTGAGTTTTATGGCCGTGCCCGCCTAGTTTCTCAGACTTGCTGTTGTTTTCGCCGAGGGTTCGGACCGACAGTTTTGTAAAGATCGGAGTGTCTGTGTGAAGAATGTTGATCTCCCGATCATTCTCTCGTTAGTTGTTATAACTTCGACATAATAATAAATAAAAAAATAATAGTGACAATAATACTTGTAATAATAATAACAATAAGAATGATAATGTATAGAAGCTATCTTTTCGGTCTGGTGCAGTCAGGACAAGGGAACGTGTGGCTCGCGGGAAGGCGACATTCATAGGTTAATGAGGTGAGGGTCTCTCTCTCTTTCTCTCTCTACTGCAAGGAAGATGAGTAATAGCGAATTCCAGCAATCAAACAACATCATACATATGAGTCCAGATAGTCTTGACCTGGAATCAACAACAGCATTGCATCACGAGAATCACCAAATAAGAACACCGAGAGTTCATAATTGACAATGCTGAAATGGTCCCATCATCATCAACGAAAAACCAGAGTTGATATCCTATCTAGCGCTCGGTGCCCAGACTACATGTGGCAGATCCTATCTAGCCTATACTATGAAGCCAAAAGATGACATCAACAACATTCCCGAAGTACGAGCGTATGGCGACCAATGTCGCACGCTTCCAGCACCAAGTATGTCTCTGCCTCGCCTGCTACTATCAGGCAGCGCCCTGAACCCAGCTCTCGTTCTTCCATCACTCGAGGTAATTTCATAATAATAGAATAATAATAATAATAATAATAATAATAATAATAATCATAATAATGTAGCGGACCCACCAGGTGTGGTGCTCCGCTAGTGACAGAGATGGAGATGGAGGAAGAAGGGGGAGCCAGATGGCACAACGCAGCTCCCCACGCAAGACTCCAACGCACGTACTCCAAAATGTGCAAGTGAGGAAATGAATCTGAAAACAGACAATGGCTGGGGTATACCACAGCGGACTGACGGGACTGGACTGGACTCGCTGGTACCGACAGAGGTACCAGCCTGGACTGGCCTACCCCGAATATAACACAGGCCTGTGAGAACAGGCCAAGGGGCTGGTCTCACAGGCCAACCCGAGGTCCGCTACACGATCYTCGGCCTGTGATGGATCGCCTAGATACAAACATGCTTCCGCCAAGAAGCGGAACTCTACCAAAGAAAAGAAAACCTTAGTAGTCTAGGATGCGGAGCAAGCTCCATGCTGAGTCCATGCGATGCAACCTAGGATATAAAATGTCACAAAACAGCAATG